GGCGCGTGTGTGGATCCAGTTGCCGTCGCGGACCACGGCCACGAGCTCGTGGATCGCGCCATGGCCAGCGTCCGCGTCCGTCGGCAGCAAGTTCGGCGAGTGGGACAGGCTCGCCTGGAGCTCGGCAAGGTACCCGGACAAGAGACCCGTTGCGACGCTCGTGCGGAAGCGAACTTCGAGGGCCGCGATGTCGAGGAGGTGCTCGTCCATGGCCCGGCGCGGACTCGTGCTGATGCGGCCCATGATGACCGCCACGCTATTTTAATACAACGGCCGTCGCATCGACTCGGTTTTGTATGACTCTGTGCGAAGATTAAAATGCGGCAACGGCGCAAGGCCATTGGGCGAAAGATCGCGAGCAGATCTTTCCTCGAGAGAGGGCACCGAACGGCAAGCAGCCCGGGTGCAAGCGACCTATTGAGCTCTGCACTCTGTTGCTGCGAGCTGGACCTCCGCTAACGGCTGCTCCGTGCTCCATGCTCCTAGTAGCGACCATACAGCCATGCGACGAGGCCATGGAAGAATGCGCCTGCGGCCCATTGCCTTGCCAACACGAGCCGGGCATCGATGCAGTTGTGCATCCTTGATCATGTCGCCCTTGGTGGTGCATGTCGTACAGCGAGTCGCGACTGCTTCCCTTGAGCAACAAGCTTCCCATCATCATCATCATCGGCAGGATGCCCGTCCGGATACGCGGCACCAATCCTGCGGAAAGTGTCCCAATTAGGATGGCGACAGCGACGTGCGCCTCAGTTTGCATCTTGCCGCAATGGAGCACGTCGTCTTGTTCAAGTGGAAGGAAGACGCGTCCGAAGCCGCGATCGCCGACATCGGCGCTGGGCTCGTCGCGATGCGCGACAAGATCCCGGGCGTCGTCGACCTCGCTTACGGCCAAGACTTTACCATCAACCGCGCGAAAGGCTTTACGCACATGCTCATCGTGCGCCTCACGGGTCGCGACATGCTTCAGGGCTACGCTGAGCACCCCGAGCACCAAAAGGTGCTTGTCAAGATCCGCGAAATCGCCGCCGACATAATGGCCATGGACTTTGAGAGCCCGCGGTTCGCGCCGTCCGCCTAGATGTTAAGAGTTACATTGCGATTGTTCAATGCACGAATTTGGCTATTTTGTCGACTTTACCGCACGGCCCACCCACTCCATACAGCCTTTTTGCTACACACAACGTACATAATCATTGATGTACATGATCAACACGACGGTTCAAGCTCGGAGCGTTGCATCTTGGTAGTCGAGCGTTCAAGGACCCTCTTCGTCTGAGCTCGATCTTGGTACGAATGAATATGTGCAGGTTCAGTGAGGGTGCCAGAACTCCATCGTTGACACGCTTGAAGGAGCGTGGGTGGTCGCCTGTCCTTCTTTTCTGGAAACCCTCGTTAACCTTCGAGATTTCCCGCCCTTTTCCGCTACAGCATTTGCGAAATGGGCCTCCAAAAGAACTTTGCGGACCTCAAGGCGTCGTTCAAGCGACCGTCCAAGGCCAACGAGCCCAAGCTCTCGGCGGCCGAGTACGAGCGGCTCCGGCTCGAGCTGGAAGATATCTTGACCTTGTACGAGCCGTCCCAGATTGGCACGGCGGCGACGCTGCTCAAACACTATGACGGCCTCGAAGCCGAGCTCGTCGATTGCTACCGCGCCTATTACATGAAAGAGTCGCGGTCCAGTGATCCGGACGACGACGAGCACCCAAACCAAATGGCAGTACCCACGTACGGCAGCGGCAACAATGACCTCGAGGACCATAAGTCGCGCTTCGCGACGGCGGCGGCCCTCCGGAAGCGCCTCGCGCTCTCGTCACTCTCGTCACTTGTGCCGTCCAAACTCCGCGTGCGCAGCGCCAAGATGCACAAACCCTCCAGTGCTACGAAGATGGACAGCATCCGCGGCCCCGACGTCTGGCCCGAGACATCGCCACCCAAGCCATGTACACTGCATGCGGTCACAACTGATCCATCGCCTTATTCAAGGATGCTCTAGCGGGCGCCCCCGCGCATGGCTTTCGTCTACCCAAGAAGACGACGCTCGTCGAGTTGTTGCAAAAGTACGCGACCCCTAGCCCCACCCCTAACCCTCGAAGCACCATTTCTAGAGTCAAGCTGTCCCGCGATGCGACGCAGCCGTACATTGGCAGCTACCACAAACACGTTGTTGACTTATACGATGTAGGTTGGAGCCTGACGCGGCCCCGCTGCAAGCAACGACCATGTCCTTCCCGGCGCGCTGCTTGGATACGGGTGAGCATTATTTTATGGATGAAGTCAACCACGAGGTAATGAGAGTTGACGCGGACATGGTGGCTGATGCGGCGGTCCATGATGCAGGTACTGGCGCGACAAAAGGACGCGCAGTACAACAAGCGCAAGAGCTTCCGCAACAAGGTCATTGTGTTCCTCCAGCAGTACGACATGGCGGCCGTCGACTCGGTCGATACGCTGCTGTCGTACGGTGGCAAGACAAACGACGAGATCTGGGACGACCTCCACGTGCGTTCACCGACGCTTCTGTCGCCGACGACCATGTACACGTAGTTGATATTCATCTAGTGTGTGTAGATCCAATACAAAGTGAACCAGCGATCGCGGCTTCTCCAGTTGTTTCAGACGTACGACCCGGCGCACGTGGCCGACGTCGATGCGCTCCTGGTGGAATATGCTGCCAATGTACGTCGCCGACATGGAGTCTTCTGTACTGTGATCATTTTGCGACGTAGGTCGAAGACATGATTGCCTTTTACAAGGCCAAGTTTGCAGTCCAAAAGAGCAAGGTCGGCAAGCGCAACGATCCGTGCACATGGACACCCGGCGAACCCAACTCATACCAACTTCTCCCTACAGGACTCTAGGTAGAGAATGTACGAAACGTGGAATTGGTCAAATGCGTCGCTGGACAAGAGGCCTGAAAGGATGGAAGTCCCATATAGCAAAATATTGGACTCTTGATGGTACGAGTAGACGCAGTGCAGCGCAGCAAGTATGGGCTTTTTAAAATTGCTGTGGACGCCGCGGTTAGGGGCAGGCCTCTTTGATGTCGTAAATGAAACCAGTTCAATCGAATCTGCTGCTTTTGAACGTGCCCTTGGACCATTGGCACCGCCTTTTGTTCGTGCATAAAGACCTCGCTTCGGCAATTTGGCTGTGGGAGTGAGTGATTCGGCGACGACGATGGCCTGGCAGAACTTGGCGGCGTCGGTCGAGTGCTGCCAAATGTGACGCTGCGGACGTCGACAACGCATGTGTACGAGGTATCCACTGTATGAGCCCTGTCAATGTGAATTGCTCTGTCGTCGTCTCTACCCATTGTCCTCGATCATGGCACACGCCTGTCTTGGCCATGTGACCAGCGTCCATTCAAGTTGTGTGTTGCCAGTCTTTCCTTGGCGTAGGGTACAATTGTAGGAGAGAAGTCGTATTGTCTTGAAACACCCAACGCGATCTTGATGGCGAGCGGACGGTCCAAGCTCACGCTCGAGCGCGTGCTGGGCACGACCGCGCATGGCAACGCGAGCATGAGCGTGAGCAGCGTGAGTGGCGAGATCGCGTACGCGGCCGGCTGCGTCGTCGTCATGTACAACTTTCGCCGGGACAA